ATAGCTATCGCTTTTGAAGCGCGCGCGCGCACACACACACACATATACATATACACACACACACACACACACATATATATATATATATATATATATATATATATATATATATATATATATATATATATATATATATATATAGAGAGAGAGAGAGAGAGAGAGAGAGAGAAGAGGGGGAGGGGGTTGTGTGTAAGTTTGTCGATTTTTGATGCAATACTTAGAACAGTGGCTCTCAGCCTTCCTAATGCAGCGACCCTTTAATACAGTTCCTCATGTTGTGGAACCCCTAACCATACAGTTGTTTTCTTCGCTTCTTCATAACTTCATTGAATATGCGTTCTCGGACGGTCCTTGGCGACCCCTGTAAAATGGTCTTCTTCTATCTTTCTACTTCTTTCTATTTGTGCCGATCAATAAATTTTCTGTTACTTTATTAATATATAATATTTAACGACCTCAAGGCTTCCCCCTCTATTTATAGGTATGACTGTAAAAGAGTCGTTCGACTCACGAAAAGGTTTGCGACCCAGAGTTTGAGAACCGCTGGCTTACAGGGCTAGACCTATATTTAAAAAATCAGTCGGCACTTGGTGGGTGATGTGGTCAACCTCACGCTGGCCGCCTTTACTTCCTACTCCTTTACCTGGTACGCATTTAAGACTGAGTCGATCGGGAAACCAAGGTCATTTGAAGAATAAAAAATTCTGCTCCGTCTTGACCTGAATCTATGACCTTTGGATCCGCAGGCGAGCGTCTAGCCGCTACACCATCGCGGCTATCCTATTCATTTAGCGGCTAAATGAAACGAAGCACCTCCGCCTATTAGATTCCAGGGTTATTTATACGATGGTCTCCCCATTTACACACCACCGGTTGTAGGTTAACTCCATTTATAAGTTGGTTGGACTAGTCTACCGTGATCGAAGTTATGGGTGTCTGTTGTTGTCTGGCATTTACTTCTTTTATTTCCGAGAAAGAGACGGCCTGTGACATGGGTTTTTTCTACTCTCTAGGGGAGTTGTGTGTTAGACCCATTATCTAAATGTTTTAGAAGTGTTAAAAGGTCTGGCATTGTGAAATATACAACACGCGGTATGAGCGCGAGTGCGGAACATCCCCGTGACCTTTGTGTGAAAGTCGGTTCGCTCGAGACATACCTATCAAAAGTGAGGTGGTCAGTAGGTCGTCCAATCAGAAGCGAGCTAGTGTGTAGCGGTGTGTAAATGGGGAGACCAGCGTAAAATGTACCAGAATTCAGTCACCTCTATTTCCTATGACTTTACCTGGTACCAGTTCAAGGCTGGGTCGACCTGGGGGACGGAGCCTTTAAAACAAACATAAAGTGGGACTTGGTCAGGACTTCTCAAATTCATTCAGTGGTTGACTGAACCAAGCACCCCAGCCACGCCTATCCGATCTTCTAACCTCTAAGCCAGTGGTTCTAAACCCGTGGATGGTGACATTTTGTATGTGGGTCGAATGATCCTTTCATGGGGTCACCAAAGACCATCGCAAAACACATATTCGTTAAAGTTATGAAAGTGCAGCGAAAATAATTTATAGTTGTGGCTCGCCACAACATGAAGAACTTTATTACAGGGTCACAGCATTAGAAAATTTGAGAGCCACCGCGTCTAAGCAGCAGGCTTCGCATTAGCAAAACAGTATAATTGTTTTACATTAGATGTACTTAATAGAAGGCCAGCCTATGTTTGGCTCTGTTTCTGTCTTGACCAGTTGTCAGCCGGTCCACACAGTATCTCTTCAAATTTCCTGGTCAACGTCAATAGAACTGGTTGAAAAACACAGTTTTGGAAGACTGCTAATTCCGATGCATTCCCAAAAAGCACTTGCATCTAATGAAACGAGATTAAAGATTGATGTTGAAGGCTTTCCTTTCGACTTAGTATAAAACGTTTCCGTGGGGTTTAGGAAACTAACAAGTGACTTTTTTGCTAATGGTTAGCTTTTCTCAGTTGGTAGGTGTGGAGGGGGTGGCGGGTGCTTCCTATTAATTACGTCGTTAAAAGGTGACTACCCAAAGATGTGCTTAATTCAGACCAGCTGTACAAAAAAGCGCAGATATCACAGTGTAGCCGTAAACCACAACACAACGTGACAAACTCCCTTTTAAAGGCGAAAAAAAAAAAAGATATATCCTTTTATTGGAGAAAATATAAATTTTTGTATTTGCAATTCGCATATGACCCCACCTGAGGTGCCTATTTAATAACGACATAACGGACATAAATGTTTGTCACTATAGCACAAAATAGCTAGCTACTCGCTTATTGATCCTTTTGCAGTTAATATACATTCTTTTGCAGTATAACATGTTTGTAAGTGCAAAGTAATCTTTACTTTGAATGTAAATACCTTATTAGAATATATACTGCATATGTGTTTAAACCAGCACTCTCCAATGTGTCTTCTGCTGCATCTTCTTCTGGCAGCCTTTTTTTTCTCCTCCTTATCCTTGTCCTTTATCCTACTTCTCCTTATTCTTCTTTTTTCCCCTCCTATTTCTCCTTTTTCTCATCCTCTTTCTAACTCTCCCTCTTCCCTCCTCCTCTTCTTCTTTATCTTCTTTTTCTTCTTCTTCTTCTTCTTCTTCTTCTTCTTCTTCTTCTTCTTCTTCTTCTTCTTCTTCTTCTTCTTCTTCTTCTTCTTCTTCTTTTTCCTCCTCCTCCTCCTTTTCTTTTTCTTCTCATCCTCTTTCTTACTCTCCTTCTCCTCTTTCTCCCTTTCCTCCTCTTTCCCCGTTTCCTTCTCCCCAGCTTCTTCTTTTTCTTCTTCTTCACCGGCTGTAAACTTCGACAGAAAATCCTGGTAATTCGTCTACTTCTAGGTTTTGGTCTTGTTTCAGGACGCTAGTGTTATGTGCACATCCGTTTCACAGATGTTTTGTGTGCAGACTGTTGTTTTCTTGCCTTTCAAGTAGATGCACTTCGATTTTGTTTTGGCCAGGCCCTCGACTGGGAGGCCTAATCATGGGATAACCGTGGAGAGGTGTACATGTACACACAGGTCTTGACCAGCAGGAGTCCCGGCCTTGGGGCACCACCACCACCACGTGTAGTTCAGCATCTTAAGTTATGGTTACCATTTTCCGTGGTGGCGTATCGTTTTCTCTTGAAAGTAACCCAGTCAAAACTGGGTCCCAGGTAAATGTACTGAGAAGTAAGTTCGGCTGGCAAAATATGCACCACATGGTGTCTCGATTGGTGTATACCAGGTGGTCTTCAACCTCCCTTCTCCACCCGCCCCCTTTTCCCCCCAATACTAAATGTGTTTCAAAAGTGAAAGATCTGACTGACCGACTTTCTACCCCACCAGGACATCACATAAGCGATAAAACACCCGATGACACAAAGTGCCACCATGTGAATGAGGATCAGTTCTGGAGAGGTCCCAGAAACCGCGTTCAGTCATTATGCCATATTTTTGGCCGGGCTATATTGCGGCCCCTGGAAAGAGCCAGGGTGGGGCTTCAAAATAACGAAAAATATCATCCCACATTTGGGATGACAGGATAATATAAATGGAAGATCATATAATCCGGCAACATAAAGAGCAATAAACTAACCAATCAGCACTACGTTCACGGCCCTACAAACAACACACAGAAAACCTAGCTCCGACAGACATGCGAGCTACAACACTAAGAAACGCACAATGAAATAAGCGCATGCACGGGGGCCAAAATTATAACTAATGTTATCTAGGAGATGTTAGTTCCCTAAGTAGCGGTTGAACTTGGCCAATTCAAATTGATGATGATGATGGACAGACAGAAAAACCTCGAGCACTGCCAAAAAGAACTATTAGGAAAAAAAAACACATGCACACAATTCACTGTGTCAAATAACAAAAGTAGCAATCACTAACAACTGTTAGTTTAGTGCCCGTGTATCAGTGGGATCGTTGACACTGTTTTGTCTTCATCTGCTATTTGTGGTCTGATGTTAGCAAGGCACAACAGAAATCACTCTCCACATGAAGCTAGTTTGTTTCCATGACTGTTGATGCTGGGAATCAGAATTATTACAAGTACAAATGTTTTCAATGTCAAAACTGTTTCACCCTACCCCCACCAGTGGGCGCCTGAAGTTGGGGGTGACTTTTTTCCAGGCGGGCGGCAAAACGCTCTAAGTTCCACCCTCCATTTTAGATAAATATGCGTCTAGCCCCATATACCCGATGCGCCACTGATGTAAAACATGTCCATTACTTACTTTTCTGTTCGTATCAAATTTTGAATCATTAAAAGATCAGATCTGGCAGAACGGTTAGAACCCTGGATTCTCACGCGGGAGACACGGGTTCGAATCTTTGGTAAGGCTGGGGATTTCTCTGTCGGAAGGGGGGGGGGGGGAGGCAAAATCAATTCCTCACCTGCACAGTCGTGGCGACAGCACTAACCATGCGGCTGTAAACCCGCAGGCTCAAAAGACCCCCACCTACACCACAGAAGTGGTATATAAAAGCAGTAATTGGCAGTTTTAAAACATGAGATTCCCCGTGTGGGTTCCGGGGCCCTATTATAGGGAGAACAAGAATAGACCCACTGCCTACCCACATGCATGTCGTAAGAGTCGACTAAGTGGGAGCTTTCTTCGAAGTCGGAGTGCATCTGCCTGAGAGGCAAGGAACCAGCAGTCTGCATACAAATTATTCAGATCTGTAAAACGGATACACACGCAACACTCAGGTTCTGGAACAGGACTGCATTCCAGAAGTGGACGAACGACCAGAACTTTCCGCCGGGCGTTTATAGCTGGTGAAATAATACTGTCATCATCATTTGAACGTTTCGCTTTTGTTTCCCTCAGGTTGTAATGATTGGTTCAGGCAGAGACTTCCTCAATTTATGAAACGAGGGACATCACAGACGAGATGGATGCTAGCCATGAGGACGGCCACTAAACGCTTGGCGCTGAATCAACTTGAATGAGAGGACAGCTGTTTGGGACGCTACCTCACGGTCGTGGAGGCACATTATGCTGGCTCATAGTGGACTTGCCCTCATCACCGAAAAGCTTCAGAACCAGAGATTAGAGGAATCTTCTCCCGCTACTTGTTGTAGTAAGCTGCCGGTAAGTGTTCGTGTGAGTGTGTGTGTGTGTGTGTGTGTTATGGACATAAATGTGTATATGCAGGGGTATGGTTGTGTGTTGGCGGTTAGGTGTGGATGTTGGTGGATGGGTTTAAACGTGCGTGTGGGTGGGTGTGAGGGTAATTTTTTGTTGTTTACCCCATCTCAGTTCCCTGGAAAGTAATTTTTTTAGTGGGGGGTGGGGGAGGGGAGGTGTTAATGCTGTTCAGTGTTCATTTCATACTCTGCCCCCCCCACCCCCCCCCTTTCCCACTCCAAATACTATTAGACTTTCCGGAACCCCCCGCCCCCCCCCCCCCCCCCACACACACACACACTCGAAATCTTTAAGTCACCGAGATGGGGTGAACAAAAATAAAAGGGCTGTGTGTGAGTGTTATGTGGGTAGGTAATATACATATGTCGTGGGATGGGTGTATACATATGTGTACGAGTGTGAGTGGGCAGCCGTGACATTTATTTGGGGGGAGGGGGGGGGGGGTTAATTATTGTTTCCCCCCATATGGTTTCTGGGACCCTCTTTATTTTGAAGAAAAAAAAAAGAAGTAGACCCTCTGACCCCTAAGAAGCATGGCATGATTTTATAAAATTTTGCTGAAATTTGATATTTTGGGCCGAAAGATGCAGATTTCGCAGCCTAACTGTGAACCATAACCTGTCTGCCAACCCGATGCCGGTCTTCTAAGTGCTGGGTATCGATCAGATCCTCAGAAGTCTTGTTAGTTTTGACACAGCTATGATTACACTGCTTCATTGTTCTCAACTGCCTTCAGCGCAGGAAACCCCAGGACCTCGATGTCCTTGCACGCCTGGGTGTTGTCACAGGACAGTCCAACATTTTAGAGGGTGGTACGACTGGGTTTCCCCACTTTCTGATGCTTTTAACGACCCCAAAACATCTAGAACTGGCCCTAACCCCAACCCATCTACGTCCCACGACAGAGTGCAGCCTAGGTCCCACGACTGCATGCAGCCTATCTACCACCCCCTGAAATATTAGACTGTCCCGTGACCTGTGGGTTTTCCCTGTTTGGGGTAGGATATTAATAATGCGCGCGCCTGGGTAACAGCGTTTTATTTGTATATCCCCTTGACGTTGTTGGAAGCCGCCGTCATGTAGCGGCTTGGCGCTCGCCTGCGGATCCGAAAGTCGTGGGTTCGAATATAGATGGAGCCGGACTTTTTCAGAACTGACCTTGACTCCCAGATCGACCCAGCATTAAATGGGTACCAGGTAAAATCCTGGGAATGTTGGCCGCCGGCGGGATGTTGACCACATCACCCACCGCCTGCCTGGTGATCTATAAAATATAGGGCTAGCCTATTATGCCCCTTACACCCGAAGGCGTGAAAGGGGGTCCTTTTACTTCACTTACGCTGTTGACACACATAAAGGCATTCTCTATCAATTCCTCTTGCCATCCGTCTGCAGTATTTGTGTCCTGGGTATCTTAGATCAGTTCCTTTCGATTGCCCATCTCCACAAAAGATTCATTCAGGCTGGCCCTTCGGGTTTGATTCCCATCCGTCATTTCGCCAGTAGTCTGGCTTGTTTCAGTTCTTTCCGCCCGTAGAATGTTTTCACTTCACCCTGTTTCCATGACGGAGATATTGCATAGTTTTTTTTTTTTATGTACTAATTTCTCTCGCAATTGCCTGTCAGTATTTTTCCGGTGGTAGACTCGTGACTGTTTTGCTGACTAAACCAAAGCGCCATTGTTTTATGCCTGCGATATAACTTGCATGAAACCCTGTACCACGAGATGTTATCTAATGTGGTAGTGGTCTTCTTCTGCTTTGCCTTGTTTCCCCCTTCTTACCTATGAGTACGATATTTCCAGAACCATTTATCTTTATCAGCATGCTGTTATTTTCAGATGCTTGTGTCCCTGTGATATTTACAGCATTACAGATTGTTCCTTGAAATAACTACCAGCGCGTGGGATGTTCGCAGAACAATCAATCTTTGATAAAACATTGCTTTTAAATGTCTTTTATATTGCGAGGCATTTAGAAATCCATTAATCTATAGAAACCTGCTTTTGTTGCAGCTGCTTGATCGCTCTGCATGCGTATGCAGTGCTGCAGCAAGTCACACTGTCAACTTGTCCTTGCGTCTCGTTTCAGATATTTGCTTGCGGCACCCAAAACGCGACTCACACAACACGTCGATCCGCGGAAATACTGGCTTTGTGCAATGCTTTTCCATTTTTGTGTGTGTGCTGGCTTTGTTCCTCCTTCCTCCCTTCTCTTACTCAGTCCCTGTCAGGCACGAACGCGCATGTGCGCGCACGCACGCACGCACAGACACTCACGTTCTCTTGCTTCTATTTTAATGGTGCGGCGTTTCTTCCCTTTTTTTGAAAATTTTACTTTTATTTCTCCAGTGTTCAAAGTCTGGCTGCCGCCCTTGGTAGTGCGCAACACCTAACCATTTAACTTACAGGCGTGGCCTTGTACTGTGTTTACTGTTGATGCCAAAAGTCGTCCCCATGTGGGATGCAATTTTTTTTTTTTTTCAATTTATTCTGCCGTCGCTCCTGAAAATAGCCGGGGCATAGATATGAAACAGCAATAGATATGGCCTAACGGCTAAAGGGTTTCTGGGACTTCTCCACGGGGATCCTCATCCTCATGGTGGCACTTTGTGTCACCGGGTGTTTACCGCTTGTGTGATGTCCTAGTGGGGTACAACTACCTACCTACATTGTACGGTGGAGCTTTAGAACAGCACCAGGACAATGGAATGCCGCTCATCCTAGCTGTGTGTTATATATATATATATATATATATATATATATATATATATATATATATATATATATGTGTGTGTGTGTGTGTGTGTCTGTGTGAAATCAAGGAATGAAATGTACTTTATGGATCGTCGTGGAAAGATACAAAAGGCACTAGATTTGTAATTACACACGAAAGGGTATCGGAACTATGTAGAAATCTTGACAGTCAAGACATAGAGCCTTGGTTCTCAACCTTCCTAATGCCGCGACCCTTTAATACAGTTCCTCGTATAAAGCGACCTCCCAACCATAACATTATTTTCTTTACTACTTCAAAACTTTAGTGAATGTGTTTTCCCGATGTTCTTAGACGACCCATGTTAAAGGGTCGTTCGATCCACAGGTTGAGGACCGCTGACGCAGAGGATGACTCGTGGATTGTACACAAAAGCACATGTACTGAAGGACACTGAGCACCAACGTGTCTGGGAAAAGAGTGTATCATATATAACACCGTATAAGTTATTGTGTAAATAGAGACACACACACACACACAGAGAGAAATACACACACACACACACACATATATATTTATATATATATATATATATATATATATATATATATATATATATATATATATATATATATATATATGTGTGTGTGTGTGTGTGTGTGTGTGTGTGTGTGTGTTCTGGTTTCTTGCGAGGAATGTGGGTGGGTGGCTGGACGGGTTGAGGTAGCTTTCAGAATGCTGGCCACCCAGCGACCTCGGTCTGTGCCGTAATTGTTTGTTTATGTTTGCTGTCCAAGGGGAGATGCACCATTGAGCTGTCACGTTTCTGTTTCTTGAGAAGCTGCAGCTACATAACGGATGAACTGTTTTGTTGTCTGTGTACGCAGTGTCATTGCTTCTTATATGTATGTGCGTGCTTGCGTGTTTCTTTTTATATAATAACTATATTTAATTGCCTGGTTTTGCCCGAGATCGTTAAAAAAAAGTCGGCTATCCTCAGACTAACTGTCGGTAAAGATGGCGGCCGCAAAATATACTTTCGAGCCACAGTCACTTGTCATTTGCGCACTAGCGGTCACGAGCACACCGCGGCTGCTGCTCGTGGGTCCTAGCCATCTAGTTTAGTCCACGGCCAGCTCCAGATAAATAAATCTGGAGCTGGCCGTGTTTAGTCCCATTCCACGCCACGTGAGCGGTGGCGGTAGTCGCCGGCGTAATTGACACGTGAGTATGGCTCGAAAGGATATTTTGCGGTCGCCATCTTTACCGACCGTTAGTCGGAGGATAGCCAAAAAGTCTTATTCTCTCTACCCTATCTCGGTCTCCACTGCTGTCCTACATGTAGGCCTACTGGAAATAGGAGTCCCAACTAAAACCCTATATTTAATATTGTTTTGTACTTCATCTTTGTCTACACAGCTGCGTAATAGGAAAGAATAATCAGAGGGATAAAACTCCAGCGAAAGTTTACTTTTGGTGATGGTCGCCATTAATAAAGAAATGTACAATAATCTGGGCCACCAATATGACTGGTAAATTAAACTTTGTAGTCACAATAACAAATGAAAATGTAACCCATTTATTGGTCATGGTTTGGGGGGAAGTTAATACTTCATTTATAATAAACACACGAAATACAGAAAGGGTTTGTGATTTATAGTGTGGATGATAGTAATACTTTACTTGTTGTGATGTCTTAAAAGATAACATGTTACTAACCATCCCCTTGTGGGATGCAATTTTTCGTTATCTTGAAGCCCTGCTCTGGCTCTCGTCAGGGGCCGCAATATAGTCCGGCCATAAATACGGTCTAATAGCTGAACTCGGTTTCTGGGACCTCTGCATGGGTGATACTCATCCACATGGTAGCACTTTGTGTGTCATCGGGTGTTTATCGCTTGTGTGATGTCCTAGTGGGGTAAAATATACTACTACTAATGGCGTATCCACTCTTTCCGTCACATAGGTGCTCTGTCTCCTTCAGCAGATGTGATTTTGTGAACAATCCATGCTTCTCCCTCTATATGTTCACTGTCTACAATTATGCGTGGTTATGATATACTTTCCTGCTTACTTACAAGTATAGTTCTACTTTTATCTTTCCTTGAGCATTCATAAAGCATAAATTTCTTTCCTTGATCTCTCATTCTCTCTCTCTCTCTCTCTCTCTCTCTCTCTCTCTCTCTCTCTCTCTCTCTCTCTCTCTCTCTCTCTCTCTCTGTGTGTGTG